ACTCCTGGCAGCAAACACATGCCTCCCAGGGGAGAAAGCTAATGCGTAAACGTCCCTATGGGACAGACATTTTAAAGTGCTCTATTTTAATGAAAATAACCTTTTTGATTAACCAAAAGGAATTATAAATATTCTTCTTTAGTATCAAGATCTTATTATTTTGTATCCATCAAGCCAACAACATGAACCATAATTGAAAAAAATAAGTGTACTTAATTTCTGGGACTTTCTGTCTGGATCCAGAGGTGCAGCTGAAGGGTGGTCATCACAGTAAAATGGAAGGCAGAGGCTAGGTCAGTAAGCCCCGGGTCCGGTCTTTCATACACTTCAAGTAACCTGTTTTCTGGTATAATGCAATGTGAGTATTTCACAGGAAGGATGCTCCACTGTCTGCACAAGGCTGCCTCCAAACCTGGTGATACTCTTGTACTACCAGCATCTGTGCTCAAAGGGCTTCTTTAAGAGATCACGGTGACTTTATTTAGCATAGTAGAAAGAGGGGCATTGTATTTTTTCAGCTTTCTTACTTCATTTTTTTCAAAACAAGTCACATTGTACATAGATGATTTCATCTCACAATTTCTTATCATTAGTAGAATGTAAAAAGACAAAGATAATGAAAAAACAATCTGAGTGGAAAAGGGACTGGGTTATGTCTATAGATGGTGGCTATAGCCAATAGATGCCAATGGAGACTAATGTAAACAAATATAAAATAAAGTGCAAAGCTGGGAAATATGTCCAACCAATCACCACCTAGGTTACTGAATAGAAAAAGATCTAATACATGCTTTGGTTTTAGCAGTGTTTTCCTCCAGTGGCAGGGGTTGGCAGTGAAGAAATTGTCAGCCAAAATAATAGGCTTAAGTTATATTTCAAGGGGCGGATGAGGAGGACCTTCTTCCGCGGTAGGGATGGTCTCTCATGGCTATGGGTAAGGTCTCTGCTGCTGTTTTAGGCATCGGGCTTCCAGCAGGACATGAGGCTGCAAAGAGCCAGGAGGAGCAACAGTATTCATCAGAGCTCTAAAAGTTAGCGTCAATGAGGAAGGATGGAAAGAATTACAATTATGCAACCAAAAGAAAAGACTGAAGGGAAAGTAATAACTGTCTGTAAATAAATAAAAGCCTGATGCAAAGAGAAAAGGAATTTGTAATGCTGGGTGTCATCGTAGAGGAAAATGAGATGTTCCATTACCACAAGGCAGATTTAAGTTACACATTGTAAAACCCTTCTGGTGATGTGGACAGAGGTCCTAAGGTCCCCGTTGCTGGAAGGATTTGAAGCCAAGTTTCAGCAGGTGTCTATCAATCGGGACAATGTGGGTACAGCTGAGCACGTTTTGGGACAGCAGAGGAGACAGGTCATCCCTTGGGTTTCCTTCCACCCTTATTTTTCTGTGGTTTCAGAAGTCAGAGAGGAAAGGTCCAAGGTAGCACGAGGCATTAAGTATTTTTTATTTATGAATTGGATCATGGTATCAGCTGAATATGTCAGCCCAGGTCTGGGATTATGATACCATGAAGTTTATGACTACACACATAAACTGAAGAGATGTCTTTCCTCAAAAATTTTTACAATCTAAGTAAAATCAGTGATGAGGGGACTAGACTGAATTTAATGATATAATCATTTTGTCAGACTTTATACAAGCTATATTTCTCAGTCCTTAAAACAAGCTTATCTCTTTAAGTCATAGCTCCCAAACACAACACACAGGCTGACATGGGATGACATGTACAATAGTTTGGGGTGTTATTTTCAGTCTCAGAAGGGGTCCAAGCTGCACTTCTAAAAACAGGGTCTAACCAAGTGAGAATAAAAAGAAACACTGATGTGTGAAAACAGATGTAACTTGGTCCAAGGTAGCACGAGGCATTAAGTATTTTTTATTTATGAATTGGATCATGGTATCAGCTGAATATGTCAGCCCAGGTCTGGGATTATGATACCATGAAGTTTATGACTACACACATAAACTGAAGAGATGTCTTTCCTCAAAAATTTTTACAATCTAAGTAAAATCAGTGATGAGGGGACTAGACTGAATTTAATGATATAATCATTTTGTCAGACTTTATACAAGCTATATTTCTCAGTCCTTAAAACAAGCTTATCTCTTTAAGTCATAGCTCCCAAACACAACACACAGGCTGACATGGGATGACATGTACATTAGTTTGGGGTGTTATTTTCAGTCTCAGAAGGGGTCCAAGCTGCACTTCTAAAAACAGGGTCTAGCCAAGTGAGAATAAAAAGAAACACTGATGTGTGAAAACAGATGTGACTTGTTTCATTTAACTGATATTTAAATGAAAAATAAAATCCACATACAAATATGGCCATCAAGGCAAAATCAGGTATTAAATTTATGGAGTTTTGCTACATTTACAAATTTCAGTGAAAGTTTTACACAGAGCTGTGATGATAATTAACTCTAGCCGCAGACCTTGTCCTCTGCATAAAAGCGCATTGGCATTAAAATTTTAGTCTTTTCACAGTGCAAAACTCCACAGAATAAGCCTACAGGTCGCTGCAGGGTCTTGCCATTCCCATCTACTGCCAGGGTCCAACACAGCTCTGCTGCTCACCAGGGCAGGCGAGGAGCCCACGACCCTGCCTTTGCTTCTCCTAGGGCGATGCACCCTGTTCACTCCAGCAGCACCTTCTCCCAGTCTGCGTCAGGGCACGGAAACGGGGGCCGCTCCATGGTGAGCTGTAATGTGTTTTTCTGCAATGAGGAGGGGGTCCCAGGCCTTAGGCAATGCCACTCACTAAGGCCATCCGCAGAAAAACATCCGCCTAAATATTTGCCAAACGTAAAACACGTTCACATCCTGGCATACATAATGAGCTGTAGGGACTTAAAGATAAAGCAGTTTAATTTTTCGTGACAACATAGGAACAGCAATTGCAAACACCTGTTTAATATATTCAAAAATTTTAATGTCACCATTTTAAGATTACTTCTACGAAGCTGCATTAAATAGGCATGGCTTTTCAAATACTGTGCTCTGTCATGACCTGGAGTGGCTGGTCTTGGTTGTGTGCTGGCATATGTCTCTGTGAAATGGCTGATGGAAAAGAACAGAGGCACCAGGGGATTAGTCAGGGTATAATTTCTTACACACAAGCACTTCTGAAACAGTGCACCTTGCTCTCTCTGCCTTTTTCAGTGGTGGGTGGAGCTGGAAGATGCATGCATGTGTGAAAACACCTGGTAATAAAGGTATTTTTTTAGTTTCCCTTATGCTACCAGTATACTAAGTCCATAAGAAATCTTACATAAAGTTATTACAAAATGCCTGGGAAAAAAATGAACCAGGTCTGGCTTTTTGTGTGGAGCAATGTAGGTCGGAAACGTTGCCAATGGACGTTGAGCGCACAAGCAGATCACAGAGAGCAGGGCTTGGCAGAAGGAATCAGCAGATGTTTGCTGGGCTACAGGGGAATCAGTGGTCTCTACTGCACAGAGCTGCTGACTTTCTTAAGGCATATATCAAGTTAAAAGGCAGAGATATAGGTCTGTAGTGGTAACTTGTTAAATTGAAGTAGGTAACTTTCAAATATTAAAAAAATCCTGCCTCGATTTTTCTCATGTTTCACATGAAGGAAATGCTCTCCAGTCCGCAGAAACAGGGAATCAGGGATCTCGGGAGCTATTCCTGTGTGGGCAACCCAGAGACAGGAGATAAAAGGCTGAAGTACCAACAGATGAGGGGTCCTACAACAAGGCAGCTTCCACTAATGGTGGGACCTGAAAAGGAGAAACAGCTCTTCAGAGCCAATTACAAAATCGGATTCCAGTGAAACCCTGGAGGAAAGGGCTGGCTTGGCAGTGACAACAGAGAAAGAAAAGGCTGGATACGCACCAATGTTGAAACCTGAGCAGAGACTTATCACAAAAGCACCACCTACCAACCAGCTTCACTCTCAGCATCTCTGCAGTCTGCTCAGGGCACCAAATACTCAGGTTAGACACTAGACAAAGGCTGCCTTAAATTCAAGTACTTTGTGGGAATTTCCATACAGTAGCATCTGATGTTCTATGTATACACAGGAGATACTTCAGGAAATTTAGCTCAATTGAAGGGGTATTTTTAGTGCATGGATGACCCAGAGAAAAACATGACAAGACTAACAGCGTTACTGACAAAAAGCAGCTGAGCCAGGACGGCACGCACCTCTTCAGTCACATCCCGAGTACAGGACAGCAGCAGGGGCAAGCCACATAAAGTACTTATACAGTCTGAGATAGGAAATGTAAAATGAAAAATACTTCACCCAAAAAAGTGAAATCAGATTTTGCTTTTTATAGGGCACAAGGCTTTGTTTTTTATCTTTTAATGTAGATTTATTCTGGCAAAGAAAAAAGAGTCTGATAGGATGACACAGTACTTTAAAATTATACATTGCCTCACATGCCCCTCACATGCATGTTCTGCATGCATATGGCACAGGATATATTTAACACGATACTGTTACTTGATGCTTTCAAACATCTGAATTCCAAATCTTGCTGTGCCCAAAGTGTTAATTGCTGCAGCTGAACAGTATTTTCTGTTGATGTGTTGCAGCAGCTAGTATGCAGGACAATTTTTACACGGAAGGGAACAATATGAAGTAAAATTTGATTTGTGATTTGTTTGTGAAGTATTTGATGTCCAAGATTTATATTTTTTTAATGTTAAAGTTATCTACTCCGCATTGGGACCAGGGTTTGGAGCGATGCCACGAGCCCTGAGTGAACTCAGGCTGGTGCAGAACAGCCCATCTGTTTAGCAACACCACAAGCTTTGCTCTTTCCTGGCTCCTCACCCAGCAAGCCAAGTTCAAAGTGTCTGGCCTGATTAGGCCAACAGCAGCTGTGCCTTTGGCCACTTTTTGAAAAGATAAGAGCACCCAAAGCGAAAGTGACTGATCATCCCAAATCACATGCCGATGCGCTAGATGCAAACTTCATCGAGAAACCCTGTCCAAGGACAGCATGTTTGTAAGAACACAGGCAGAAGGTTTAATAAAAGATCTTTACAATAGGAAGCTGCAATATGTTTGTTTCCCCCCCAAATTATCTGAAAAAATCAAATATATTTAATGAAAATATTCTAGCAATTTCAAAGAAATGTGGCAGTCATAGTCAGGCATGAACAGGGTTGTTATACTTTTTCTGAGACACTTAACGCACTATAAAAGGCACTTCAGCATGAAAGACACTCCATCTCTACTGACGAGTCACAGACAACCTTGAGACAGAAAGTGCTGAGTTTTAGCGCTACCAGCTCAGAAAACCGAATCTGTTGATTTCCATTCCTGAGGACGGGCTGAGTATACCAGCAGGAGCAAAGAGAGTCCACTGCATCTTAGCAATGAAGCTGCACCTTGAAACTGCCATCCTGATTCTCATCTCCACGAAAAAACACAAGGACAACCTTTCATTTAACACATGAGTAACGCCCATCAGTAGTGAGCTCCATCACGTCTGCTGCCAGTGATCAATGAAGGAGCACGACAGCCCCAGAAGTAGGGCTGGGAGTGCAGGGCACGAGCCCAGAGCTGGGACCTGGACCTCGGACAGATCCCCTGTGTCCCGTTGACTGCCAGGCGAGACCCCTCTCCTTCTGTCCAGCCCTTGTTCCTGCTCAGCTTGGCTCATCGCTTCGCTGCTGTGAGTTGCAGGTGGGTGCAGGAGCTCCTGACTGGTCGTAGGGAACGTGACCCCTGCAGCAACGCAAGCTGAGAGTATCTCCTGTCCTCCACCTTTGCCTAGGAACAGCATTAGATGTGCAATTTGGGGTTGATTAATAGCTCAGGAAGGAGATTTATGGACCTTGTCAGAATTCTTTCTACCCATCCATCTGTCATGCCAGGAACCTAAATAAAAAAAAAAATTAGGTTAATACAGTGCTTCTTATACTCCTGTAATGCAAAATGCCACATTTACAGAGTTAGAGGCAGGGTGCTGGATGTCCCACGCGTGCTCAGCCGCAGTCTTCAGAGTGGGAGAGGGAAGAGCAGGGGGCAGTGGCACAGGGACAGTACATCCCCCACCGCTGTCCATGCAGGACGGGATGTGGCCCATTGCCTGTCACGTCTCCTTGGTCGTAGCTCCTGAGATAGCGTCCCTCCTCCTCACATGGCTCTCAGTCCCGCTCCCCGCCAGCCTCCTGGGCTCAGCCCCAAGCCCAGGGCTGAGCCTTGAGACCCCGCTGCCATCCCACACCCAGGCTGCACCACCTCCTGCTTGGCTCTGCTTAAGCAAAGCCTGTGGGACATGATGCTTAGGAGGGGACATGATGCTTAGGAGGGGACATGGGAGCTCTGTAAACGGCAGCGCTGCCCCCAGACTTCTTCCTGCAGTCGTTGGTGCGGGAGCAATAAAACCTCATTACTTTTGCAGTGAGGAATGGGCAGTAATGGAGGCAGCTGTTAAAGCAATACCCAGAGCTTTATTCGATGCAGAGTGACACCAACAGGCACATGGAAAATACTAATCCACCATAACAAGAAAAGGTCGTGCTCTGCAGACGTTTTATTCTCAGTGCCTGGATACCCTTGTTAACACATTCAGCACATTCGCCCCATGGTGCATGCTCCTGTGAACCAAAATGCTAGGAGAAACTCGGAATTAATACATGCAAATTGTATTACATTTTCCCTGCACATAAAGCTGTTTTTTTCCTTCAGTTATAAAGAAATCTGAACAAATAATTTTGGGGGAAAAAAAAAAAAATCACCATGTTTCGTTCTTTCATTCTTTTAGAAAGGGGAGAGGTTCAACCAAGCAGCAGCAAGGAAAGGCAGTATTTCAGTGCAGGAGCAAATGACCTCCTGAGGGACTCAGGAGCAAGCAGAAACAATTCTTTCCCTGCTCTGGAGATACATCTTTTTTTCAGTCATTGCACTCAGGCCCTTATGAGGAAGATATTTGGTATATCAGCGCCTTCAGTCCTTTGTCCATGGCTTATTTTTTCACTCCTCTACAAAGCTTTTTCAAGAAGAAAACTTCTTTTCTTGTGCTTTTCGATAACACAGTCTCAGGGGAGTGGTATTGCTCCAGGGATGATATTTTTGTGTGCTCCAAACCCCACAATATGGTGCTTGGTTTTGCCTTATTTGCATGTTATAAAGGTGTTATTGAGTGGGGAATTTAGTGCTCCAACTCAATCCTTAGTGTTTTTCCATCCTCTGTGCATATGCAATAATTTGTACTCTAAGAGATGTGCAGTGACCTCTTTTTTTCATGCGAGAAATGTTTTCATTAAAAATAAAATAGCAGATACATCAAGACATTTCCTCTTGTAAAGCCTCATGTTCTGAATGTAAAATAGGAATAGCCAATCTCTACAATGTTTTCTTATCATGCTATGCAGCTAAAAATGAGAGAGCAAGTGAGACAGAGGGAGGTTGGGTTATTGCATAACACAAATAAAACAAACTTTATAGGCGGCCCTATAATTTCCATAAATAGATAATTAATCGTAGTAATAGTAACACCACCACCAATAATAAAATCTTTGAATCGTATTCTTTGTTTCAACATAGTATTGAAACAATTCAGGGAACAAGTCAAGATTTCCAAGAGCCCGTGGTCACAGCAGAGAACACTGCAGCAAAGCCAAGGCTGCCCTGGCTCAGCTTACCTGGGACCCAGCTGCATCTGTCGCCCGTCTTGCCTCCGCTCCCCCGGCTGCCGTCGGGTTCAAAGAGAGACCTGAGGTCTGGCAAGCCTGTTGCTCTCTGCAGGACTGGTGCATTGCCATTGCCAGCACAAACACAGAAATAAGACAATTTACTAAATAAGTCTTTAGTCTGAGTATGCGAGAGGCAGCAAATGCATTCGAAGACGGCAATGTGAAGCAGCTTGCAGGGAGTGTTTGCAGGACAGAGGGACTGGGGACTGGGACTTGGCTCGGTGCTTACTTTAAATACATGACTCATTCCACCGAGGCCCAACAGCAATACGTATATGCTTAAAGTGAAATATTTTTTTATAATCTATACCAAATCAGGACCTGCATACAATTTAGGAACAAAAAGCTCCATTTTTGTAGCTATTCACTGTGGGCCTTACATTACATTCTTTTTTAGCTGAAGGTATGCAGTCTCATTTGCACTGTGAATATTTATAACTGTGAATTTAAATGATCTCTTTCTCAGTAAAGAAGCTTAATAGTCTAAGGCTGGTTAAATCATTTGCCGGAAAATATTCACAATGTGAACACAAAATAGGAGCAAAAACTATCAAAACAAATTCACGGAGACATTCAAAAGAGCACATACAGCATACATATCAGTTCATTTGATCAGCTATTGTCTTACTGGTGTACTGACTAAAGCAGAACTCAGAAAGCATGAAAATTAGTTATTTCCACCATCTTGAGGAAACGACATTAGTATGCTGACACTAAACTCGTGGCTTCTGTAACTAATATGCCTTGTTGGTTACAAATTGCGTTTGAAATATTCTGAAATGTTAGAGTTGGCTGAATTACCAAAAACCAGAATTGTTAATATTTTTACAAATAGAAGCTGTCAGGTTTGTTCAAGATGATTCACAAATTCATACCACTCTTTATCTGACAGAATTCAGATCACTGCCAAATAATGGGCATAATAGCTCACAAGTCCCAGAATTTTCCATTAATTTACAGTAAATAATAATTCAGCTGAAAAGTCATACTGCTAATTACTCTGATTTAAAGAGCATTTCAATTACCTAATTGAAGAACAGAAATAGTGCACTCAATTTAGGTGGTCAGTCACAGTTCAGAAATAATGAATAGTAAATGATTAATACACAGCACAGAAACAGTCATAGTCTGAAAATTATTCCTTTGAATAATTTAGTGGATAGTTGGCAACAATGGACACTTGCAATCAATTAAAGGAGCTGGCTGCAAACTTCACATTGGAATAATGCTTCCACGGAAAGTGCAGATTTTCACAACATTTTACCCAAAATGGTTTTGGTCCCCTAGGAAGGTCACACAGATGTTTTATTGCAGGCTTCTTTACCCCAGACCCCTGTGTTTTCCTTTTTCTTTTTTTTTTCCTAATTGATAGGAGGCAAAATGTCGCGCATCAGCCAGCTAAACTTTTAGTAGCATTTCCATACCAATTTGTTGTCTTGGTGCTGTTGTGCCAGTGCAGGGTGGGTGCCAGGCTGGAGGATGCATCCGGGGCTGCCAAAGACGTGATGGGGAGCTGGGGAGAGCCAGGCTGCACCTGGCAAGGGGGGTCTGAGAAGGCGTCTGGCAAGAGGTCTCGTGGAGAAAGGTGACAGCCAGAAACAGAATCCGAATTATGAGGAAAATACTGCAACGCGCAGAGCAGCGAGTGCAGAGCTTCTCCTGACTCGATGGCTGCCCTTTGGCTTGATCTGGGAAAGGGAAACTCCCCTCTCCTGGGCGAAGAGGCTGATGCTGCTTTTCCTGACCATTTCGTGCCAGTGTGCCTCTGGAATATTGAAATGCCACTGCTGTGTTGCAAGAGGGTATTTTGCTTTCTAACAGAGCAGAAACCTGGATTATTATGGCCATATGTTGCCATGTGGCAGCCTGAACTGGCCCGTGGAAACAGGGCATGGTGCATGGGAGGTCTAAATACCCGCTTCCAGTTCAGTTGCTGGGGAGGGAGATTTGTGTCTGCGAGTGGTGGCATTCGTGTTTGCATGCTGTGATTTGTGGCATCACATCTGGACTAGACCACAGAAACTGCTGGAAGCCAAATGTGAGTTCAGGTAGACAGTGCCAGCCCCAGCACGTCCTGCCCCCTTCAGCAGCGGTGGTCATGGGTTGGGGGTGTGGGTGTGGGTGTGTGTCTTAGCACCGACCTGCCCCTTCAGCAGTGGTGGTCATGGGTTGGGTGTGTGGGGGTGTGGGTGTGCGTGTGTGTCTTTTTTGTCCTTTGAGCTTTATGAAAGTCAAAGTGTAGATACTCTGGGCTGCATGAAAAGCAACATTAAACCCAGTCAGTTTGCTCCAACTTTACAAATTTTTGGAGAAGAAATATGTTTTTATCCCAAAATAAAAATCTGCTGCAAGCAGGAGAGGAGGGTAGCTGAGGACTGGGAAAATGAACAAGTCCCCCCCTGGGCTGGTGAGCAGGCAACTCCCAGTGGAGATGCTCACGCAGTCCTGCAAGCCCTCGTGCGCTGGGCTGGTATCTGGGACCATGTACGAGGACATCCCCGACTCAGGCAGGAACTGAAGGAGCACTTTTTGTATCTTACGTGCAAATGACAAAATGACCCAGTATGAATAGGTCAAATAAGCACCGTGCCGTTTCCACGCAGACCCAGCCAGTCCTACCTGGCCCACCTGCACAGACGGTCCCATCCGCTCATGATGGAGCATCTCCCCACGGGGTTTACTCCATCCCCAGCTGAGCCGTCCACGAGCCGGGTCACCCATGGTGGCACGCCTGTGGCCGTGAGCCCCAGAGCAGCACTTCCAGGGCTCCCCAGCTCCTGGCTGGGGGCACAAGCGCAGAGGAAGCACTGCCAGAGCCCACAACATCATGAGAGACCCCCTGTGCCCCCGTGCCCCGCCACGTCCCCGCCGTGCCCTGGTGCCCGGGCCAGCCGCCAGCCCTAGCCAGCAGAAGAGTGGCAGCATCGCACAGCAGCTGCCGTGGGCACACTCCAGCGTCTTTAATTTTGGAAACACGGCATGCCAGTGTTTCTAAAACAGCTCTTATTTTTTTTCCAGATAGTGTTTGCAAAGGGATGTTTACACAGGCACACGCGTCGATGGGATGGGGCTGTGGCCACCCTGACGTCTCCCGTGGCCTGGGAGGGTCAGAGCTGGGCTGCAGCGAGGAGGGAAGGACGAAGGAGACTGACCTGCTCCCTGCAACCCCCCTCTGAAGGGGCTCGGCTTTCTCTGCAGCGAGATCCCTGGTCTGGGCTCAGACTGCCGAGAAAAGCGCAGAGTGGCGAGAAAGAGCTGTGAGAAAACCTGTAAGCAAGGTGAGAAAAGTGAAATTACAAAGATTGCAAATTGCTGGTGAGCAGTTCCAACAACTACGTACCATCAAAATTGAAATAAATGTGGTGTTTATTTGCCATATGTACCAGCCGATGGCTCGTGCGTACTTGGACATGTTAAAATGCACTGTGTGTGCAGGAGGAGCAGCCCTCCCTGGGGCAGAGCCGGCGGGCGCCATCGGTCTCAGCAGCTCGGATGCACACCACTGCTTACAGGCAGGGGCTATGGCTGACCCATCACTCAAAACACCACGAGAAAGAAATGCAGAAGTGATCTATCTATTGTGTCATTTTGTAATTGCTAATTTAATTATTCCTGTTCCATATTGAGTCTTTTCTTAATGTGGTTTAATTAGAATATTCCATTATTAAATGCACAGAATGCAAACAAAATGCACTCAAACCCCTTCTTTTCCCATCAGTTTTCCATTTCAATTTTCCAGTCTAAAAGTAAGAAAAAAAAAGAAACCATCACCTTTGCTGTCAGTGCTGTGTATGGGGTCGCCTGAACCGGCAGGCTGGAAAACCATCTTTGAATGTAAAATGGTGAAAATTGGAGAGAAGATGGCTGCCATCGGAGAGGGCTGCTGTTATTCAGTAGGTGACTATTTGTTTTCATATAAAACAACACTTTTGAAAAGCGTGAAAAAATAAAAGACCACTTTCTAACTCTGTTGGAAGTGATAAATTTTCAAAATGCCAAATATGTTAAGGGAAAGAGCTCTAGGGAAGTGAGAGGAATGTATGTGTTTTAGCCACAAAATACCTTTCCCTACAAGCACTGTAAAATGCTGGGAAGTAATCAGTTTGTCGTAATTAATATACTTGAAGCTATAAACATTTCAGAAAGTGTGAATTGCTGTTTAACTCCAAGTCCCATTTAGCTGATGCCGTACAGCTGCTTTTTTTAGGAATGCTTAGTGTCAGTCCTTTAATTAGAGGTGTGAACCTTGCTCCGGGCTCACCCCGTCTGCCCCGGGACGCTGCCGCCGCTGCCGGCATCCCAGTCCCGGGAGGCTGGCGAGGGCTGGAGGCACACACCAGTCATCCCCCCTCATGGCCTGAGACTTTGATAGTTGGACATCAGTCATGAAACCTTAATAAGTAACCGAATAATAAACTTAGTCAGTAAACAAATTAAATAATAATTAATTACTTAAATAACATAAATAGAAAACAAATAAGTAAATAAATACAAATCTACATATTCTTAATTAACCAAACTAACCATTAGTAACTAAGCATTCGTAACTAAAGCACAAAATGAAGGCAAAGAGATGAACTAAAATTGTTCTGAAAATAGCTTCATTCAGTGAAAAGTGACCTTCAGATTAGTGAAAATACATTCAAGAATCTTGTTACATCTCCCGACCCTTCCCAGGGAAAAGAGAGGGACCTTCCCAGGGAAAAGAGAGGGGGGGAGGGAAAACCTTATAGCAGAAATGTTCCATGACAACTACTCAAAAATAATAACAATAAAAAATTTATTCTGAAACTACATTTTAAATCAGAGTGTACCAAATTTCCATTCAAAATGTGAATGTAAGAAAATAAAGCCAAAAGCACACCATGTTTTGTCTCAGTGAAAGCAAACCAGAAGCGTCCCAGCTGCTCAGCACTGTGAAGCAAACCAGAAGCGTCCCAGCTGCTCAGCGCTGTGGGTGAGACTTACAAATTCTGTTCTTTTCACCACTAAGTCAGATAACCGGGTATTGTTGTTATCTGTCTGTATTTTCCCTTCCTTCAGAATTTGTACAAATTATTTGCTGTTGCAACTCCCAGTGATAATAAGCTGTACAGTTTAATTACATGTTGTATGAAATTATTCCCATTTGTCAGTTTTCATATTCCCACATAAGAAATTCTGCTCAAACAAGCCATACCTTCCAGAAAAGGGATCTTTTAAGACTTTTATCTTGATCACCTACCTCGTTATTGTTTAAATATTGTTGCAGATAGGTTGACATGTCAAGGTAGCGGTGCCATTGCTGGCTGAAACTGTGTGCTTTGCAGGGTCCCCGTGCAGCCAGCCCAGCTGGAGCGAGTGGCTGGCACAAGGCAGCACGTATTAGGACTTACAGAGGAAAAGATGAACTTCATAAAAAATTGGAGGTTTTGTAACATTTGGCCTCAGTGCATGCACGGATCTTCTCCAGTGTGAGCGCAGCAAAGAACAGGGTGGGAAACTCTGGAGGCGCAACCACCGGCTGATACCAAGAGTGGTGAAGTAAAGAGGAATGAAAGGTACTGATGGAACGCAGAATATTTGAGTGAGCTTCCTCTCTGTGCAATTTCATGAAACACCGTGGAAAACACCTACCGTAGGGACGAACAGTATGAGACCTGCTCTTTACCCAGCCACAGTTTCCCATCCACACCAGTGTCCTTTTCATTGCTTCTGTTCTGCAGCCCAGATGTTTTATGTCCCACCACCCCGAGTCCTGGCAGGGAGCAGAGTGGTAACCCTCGCTTGAGCTCTGCCGCCGTGGCACCACCGCACCGTATCAGCGGGTGAGCCACCAATCCTTAAGTGCTCAGAAGTCAAACGCTAAAACTTGGGATGACCAGAAGACAGCTTCCTGTGAAGAATGCAAGAACAAGATATATCTGAAGTCTATACGCAATAGATAAAAATATTTGCTCAGAAGCAGGAGTTTTGTGGGTTTTGTCATGGTGTAAGAATAAATGACTACGAGTATGAGCACACTAATCCTTTTCATGCTATTGCTGCTCCTTGGTCTCTGTCTAATCCACTTAAGCAGAAAAACAAGCAGACATGACTCCGGCAGTGGTGGGGACTCAGTTCCCACCATTGCCATTTCTTCCTCCTTGGTGGAACTTCTTCTGCATGGGTCATTTCTGAAGTGACTCCTACTGAAGGAGGTGTTTCTGTGTCCCTTAAACACGTGGGGACAGGATGAGGTGGCCTCCTCCGGCCCGACCCCTCTCTTGGGATGACAGAAGTGTTGGCACTCACTTGCCTTTTGGCCCTCCAAGCTGCCACGCAGCCCCATGGACGTCGTGCAAGAAGGTTCCTAGCCACTAAAGTGTCACAAGAAATGTAAGCACCATTTTTCACACAGGCACCCTGCTGCCTTTTGCATGAGTCACAGGAAAGCTGGAAATGCACCGTGTTTAGAAATCTTTTTTGTCTTTGAGGTACCAAAGGCCCTGGCAGCACTCATGGCATATCTTAGCTCAGTTCTGTAAAGTTGAGGAGAGCCTTGACTGCCTGTGCCTTAATATTATTTAGAAACTGGCACAGCTGATGCTGGAGGTGCAGTGCTGTTATGAGTCACCACGTGAGGAAAACCAACCTGACAATCAATTCGGCTTTTTATTTGCTACTTACACTGATGTGCCAGAGACAGGTATGCAAGGAATCAGGCAAAAAGTATGTTTTAATTTAACATGCTGTCAGAAAATAGCTCTGCCCTCCCCTTCCTGCTGGTAGCAGGGCTCTGCCGGGACTCCCCTCCTTGCCAGAGGAGTGCTGCCCACTGCACCCCGGAGTGGGGCTAATGGGGACGATTTCTGCTGGGGCTGTGCCAGCCCCTGATGACTCTCAAGCAGCCCCCGGGGGTTCATACATCTGTGTCTAATATAGCCAGCACTTTCACAGGGCCTCTTTCAGTCATTTAATAAAGTATATTATTAGCTGTTCTTCACAGTAAAACTCTTCTTCTCTTTGCCATCCTGAGTCCCCTCAATTGCTACCGGAGATACTGCCTCTCCCCAGCAAAGCAGGATGTCTTGAATCTCAGGCACAGGCAGAAGGTGAGTCCCTCCCCGGACAGCAATGTTTCAGCAGTTTGTCAGTTTGGATAAGAGCTGTTCCCAGCCCCCAAGCAGAGGGGAGGTCGAAGGGGGATGAAAGGTTTCCAGACCCTTCCTGGTTGTCCTCGGCTTTGGGCCGAGGGTGGTGACCACCTGGGGCACCGGTTCACCCATCTCAAGGGGCTCATGGCTTCTCAGTGGACCTGTTTTCTGGAAGAGTTAGAATAGTCCTTCTCAGCTCAGATTATTCAGGTTCTCATTGCAAATATTTACCTTTACAGGGGCACTTTAAATTTTCCCCTCTCTCTTTTTTTCCTCCCCCTACAGTTTTTATTTTACAAAAACCCCAGCTATTCTCCCTCCTGATTGTTTCCATCTAACACCAGACCTTGCAACTCACAGTTCTGAAATGAAGCTCATGATTAATAATTCTCTAGTAACTAATGACTACGTGGTTCTTGGGGTGGATTGCTCTCCACGATCCAGATCACTGGCTCTGTAGCTCCTTCTTCTTCACACTAGAAAAGCAGACCACGTTCAGCCACAAAGATTAGGGAAAGCCATCAGAGATACTGATTGAAATGTACGAGAAAACCCATCTATTTCCAGCCTATGGTGCCGTACAGGTCACTTTTGTTCTGGAACGACAGAAACCTCTTGCCATGCCTGAGCGGTGCCAAGCATGTCGGGTATTTAGATAAAACAGGACGGAGAGACTGTTACTACCTTCCACCTGCGATGCGCTAAGGGGGAGCCTTGGGAGGTCTCGGGCAATGCTAATCACTCGGTGAGAATCAGGAGCCCATCCTACCTGCTCAGCAGCGGTGGCTTGTCCGGACGCAGGCTGGGGGTGCCAGGAAGGGAGACCCCTCCCCAAACGCACCCACACAGCGACGAGCGACCAGAGGGAGCTGCTGAATAAAGGATAGGAGCCAGTTAATTGAATCCAGTGTTAATCTTGAAATGTTCTTGTTCCACCTAACAGCTCTCCTGGTTCCTGATTCACCACCATGCTTAAACTCTAATGACACTGGTTGCTTTGAGACTTCAAGTAAGGAAATTTTAATAAAAGCTTGACTTGATGTTATTCCACTACAAGCTCTGCGCTGAATTAAACATAAGGCTGAGGAGATATGTTGACAGTACATCAGCATGAAGTCCTGCTGGCCGCTGTTGAATATGGGTAAATAGTTTTATGTCATTTTCTTTAAGGCTCATTTCCAGCTTTCAATCAGTCTCACGTATAACATGGATGAAGTGCTGTGCAAGGCATCTTATCATGGCCAGTTGTCTGAAATGTGGGGATATGGCTAATTTTGAGAAATGAATCACTTGTCTTTCCCGTTTTCATCATTACAGTGCTAGCCTATGCTGAAATACAGGCATTCAGCCAGAGTATACTGTGCCTAATACACACAGAATACCACAGAAAATAGCTATGTCATAAAAAAATAACTAAATAATCTGTGCAGTCCATTACTGATGGGCAGCTAAGCTGTAACTTTCTATGAGTGTTCTTCTCTAATACCACAACTTTATTCTTCGATAAAATAACATGTTTTCCAGACAAAGTAAATGCCACTGGGTGGGTGTACTTGCAAGAAAGTGTGTGAAGGGTGCAATCTGGAAATCTATCATCTCAGCGAGAGAGGGTGGACGCAATGCACGGGAGTGTAGGAGTCCTGCAGACCTGCGTGCAGCAGCTGCCCATAAACCACAGCTGAGCAAAAGCGAGCGTGTGCCTCAGACATCTCCATGGGGGTATGCACAGAGCAGCCCCGAGTCCTCAGTGGAAAGCCATGCAGAACTGATCTTATCCACTTACAAGGAACACGAAATTCAACTTGAGCAAGGCCAAAACATGGGGAGTGAAGACCCTGTTAATAATGGGCATCGCGGGAAGGATGGCAGAACAAAGCCCCATCTTATACCGTGTCTTATCAGCCTGTAGAAAGCATTATATTTCATGTTTGTCCATGGCAGCGTGAGATTGCATTTGGCTCAGGCAGTCTCGCTGCTACTCTAGTCCAGTTAATTTAAGAAATGTATTGATTTGCACAGTTGATAAATCTCTCTCGGTACAACAGCATGTACTGTTGTAATCCAGCACGTAGGGAGCAGGATTTCATTGCAGGGGGACAGTCACCAGGCGAACAGGGTGATAACCCTGCCTGCCGTAAGACAGCGGGAAGTTTATTTGGATTTTAGCCAAGACCTAAATACGAGGAGCTACAGTCAAACACAGGGCTGCGTACACCTACCTCACTTGGACCACTCGCCTGGCGCACGGGCTACCCCCGGGATGCTGGGGACTGGCAGCGCCATTTGCTGCGGCAAGAGCATCTGATGTGCAGCACACATCATCCAGGAAAGGAGTAGCAAGCAATGTTCAACTACCATTTGCTGCTGCTACGGGAACAACTGGTCTCTGGATAGAGGAAGGGGTCACCTTGTAGCAGTGAGAGAAGCTCCTGCAGCTCCCTATCCCCGCACAGAGCCTGGGAAGGAGGTGAGCACAGCACAGGGCAACGTCGGTGTTTCGTGCCCGGGGGGTGTGGACGCCCGGTGAAACGTACTGAAAGAGGCAGATTCCCCTGCGGAAGGTGTGGCCCAAAGATGTCCACCAGACTGTATGAAATGTGAATGGCTGTTCCCACTGCACAAAAAAGAGGAACAAGAATCCATTCTGAAGGGTCTGTTAATTAATAATCACAGTGCAGGCTGGAGGCAGTGCAGCATATTAACTTGTTAAGGTGAGAGTGGGGGAAGAAAGGTGCTGACAGCTATTACTGAATTAGGAAAAAGAACCCACAACATGACAGTTTATTAGCATTTTCCATTGGACTTAAAAGGTTCTCTCCTCTCAAGGATTAGAATAAAATTAGTTTGAGGGGACAGCTTTACTGAATTAAAAGTTAACTTCTAAAAAGTTTATATCAGTAGCATTTTCTGGAGGTAAATATCAGCCTGACACTTTCTTTTGCCTGCAGTTCCCCCCAAAAAAGTATTGTTCTGGCAGTGGCTTATCACTCTGGGCAGGATTCCCAAAATATTTTGCATCAGTCAGTAAAATGCCCATGTCATGGTACTTGCCATGGTGTTAAGCTAAACACGATCTTTCTAGTTCCCTGAGAAACTGTGCAGCCAGAGCCTCATCCCGCCGGCACGCCGCACCACAGGGAGACAGATGGCGGCTCTCCAGCCATCTGGCTCTGGGATTTTCTATGTGCAGCCCCAAATCCATAGGAAGTTGGCAGTGGAAAAGAAAGCCATTTGGATCGTTTTCGTCAGATGGTAACACTCATCAGACAAATGTCTCCTTCACAGCAGCCCGAACCAAGCAGCGCTCTTCCGCGGAAAGACCAGAGTGTGCTTTGCTGGATCCAAAATCGTCTTGCTGCATCTTCTCAGGAGGCTTCATCATCCCGCTCCTCTGCTGGGACTGCAGGAGCCCACAGCTTCAGTACCGCCTGGGCAACCTCCTCCACCTACAAAAGGAGCCCCTGCTTGTGACGGAGCAGAAGTTAGGAGGTATCAAGCCTGGAAAGAAGAGGAATGGTCTTCTCCTAGATTGTGAGGGGACAGCCAGCATGGAAATGGTAGCAGTCCAGTGGCAGTGTCTCAGAAAGCTCACTCTCACACAGTCAGACTCCCAGGATGCGTTTTAAATAGTGGGGAAGTTCTTATCAAACTAGTTAGAATTTCAGGATTTTGAAAAACGGAGTTTTGTTTTTTAAAGGGAATGACAGGTCTGTGACACACAACTGCATGGCACCTTTAATGCCACCCAAATCAATGTTTTCCTTTGATCTGTGTGTCCTGATAGTTTACTACCTGTCTTTAATAGACTGATTTATTTCTTTATTCTCAGAGGTGATAAATTGCAGTATATTAAGACAATGGTGTAACATTTGTTGCTATTAAAAT